CATCATCTGCAAGCTTTTATTGCTATCTGACAATCGTACCTTCAGCACCGGTACAAAATCACCTTATGGATAAAAGACATGAATTAATTTTCTATAAGATTAAAAAATGGTTATGTATTTGGGCTCACCTAGATTTGGTTTAATCTTTTGATTAGCATCCACGATAGCTTTAATTTGTTCGAGTCCATCTTTTCGAGTTTTCCATTTATCATCATTACAATCCTAATGTAAATTTTTCAACTTTTACCGTATCATCCTTACTAAACGCTTAAATATCATAAGATATAGTAAAAATAACTTACTGCGATCATTTTACTAGTAAATTGAGCCCCAATATCAACTTTGGGAAAGAGTTCTTCTAAGGCGTCGCCTCCACTAGATCCTGCAAATTCTGCCTATAGTATGACAAGATAAATCAATAAAGTATACAATTTATACGAATTTGATGTAAGAGTGATAATAACTACGTTAAAATCTTGCATACACTAGATTTAGTTGGCTGTGGCGGAGCCTGGTCCGCGACTTTTTCAAATTCAGTATCAATGGTAGCAAGTTGTGTTGCATTCAAATCCTGAATAAATGTGCGAATGCCTAAACGAGGAATGAATATATTTATTATATAGCATTTTTAAAAAGAAGAGCGATTGACAATTATTTTTTTGTTTACCAGGTCCAACGTAAATTCGTAAAGCTCCTAGAACGGTGACTGCATTTGTACGAACAGCCGCATTCGAACTGCTTAAAGCAAATTTCAGGAAATCTATCAACTCTCGAACTTGGAGCCCGGTTATGCCAAATTCCATCACGGCACCTTGAACCCATGTTAACGAGTCCGCTAATGTTTTCGGTGATTTAGATTTTCGTAGTGGCTCATAAGCTTCAAAAAACCACACAATAATATTAATAATGCTATCAATCACAACAAACAAAATAAAGAGTCAAATACTAAAAATAAATACCTTGACTAAGCACGAATTGAAGCGAAATTTTTTCGCAAAATTTAGTCAGACAATCACCGGCGCTTTTCTTAAGCTTGATATCGCCCAATTTTTCAATAAGTACTAAAGAATAATATACAATTGATATTCAAATTATTGTCGAGACAATCGGAAATTGAAGTAATTGAAATAATTTATTAAAGGAAATATCCACTTGGTGTAGCAAGAGCTGCAGAAGGTTTTGAGAATGATGGAATTTTGTCTGCCAACATTTCTATAATATTGAAGGCTTTGCTCATAACCTAAAGAAAAGTTTCAATTTTAGCAAACAAAAAGAAAATAAACATCACTTTGCTATTCATTAATATACCTGAAAATTGCTTTCTTTCCAGCCAGGTTTTTTAGCCAGGAATCTTATCACCAATTCAGCTTCTACTTCTGAAGAATCCATCTCATTCAAAGTTTGATATAAATTCTCGATTGCTAATTAGTATTTGTATTGTTACGTTCAAAGCATTAATTAATAAGCATCAATTAATAAACGATATAAATGATTATAATTACCTGCTAACCGTAGCTTCCAGTTTTTGTCACCAAGATTAGAAGTCTCACTTTCAGGAACTACCTCTGCAAATCTTCCTTCTACTTCTTCGTTAGTATATTTGTATTTTATTGGCTCTTCTACTTTGGCGCCTTTTTTAGCCGGAGGAGGTGCTGCAGCTGCAGGTGTCTTTCCTGTTTTTTTCGCTGCAGACGGGGCAGGTTTTTTAGTAGGTGCAGGCTTTTTAGCAGGCGGTGCCTTTTTTGGTGCATCATCCTAAGAAATAAAAGCCCATGCTGGCAATTTTTATTATCGCCGTTAAAGACAATATATAATTAAATGCTAAGATGATAAAAAAACTAACCGCAGGCGGCTTTGCTGCAGGCTTAGCTTTTGGAGGTTCTGAAACAACTGGAGGTCGCTTCGCAGTAGAAACTTTGACTTTAACTTCAGCTTTTTCGTAAAATTCTTTAACTTTGGCCTTTTTAATATCATCCAATCCTTCTAGAAAAGGGTTCATAGATTTTTCGCTAATGACCTTCATCAAAGTGCCAAGACCTTCAAAGGCCGCCACACGTACAGGTTCAAAACTATCTTCTGAAGATTTAACCATCATTTCAGCAAGAGCTTTGATTTCCGATTTGGTCGGCGCGATCTTTGTATTTTTCAAACATCGTACAAGCCATTTCATCGTTTCCGTCTTCACTTGTGGATTTTTATGTTTGCCGCCTGCTATGAAATCTTCAGATACATCAGTAAATGTAACCTAGATAAATTTTTCAAATAATATTAGAAAAACTAATTGATAATACAGGTACAATAAATTATAAATAAGCGAATTTTGCCTACTGTAAGAAAAACAGCATCCAACGCGGCAGCTAACGCGTCCACGACTGATTGTTTCCTTTCCTTAAGTTTTTCTAAAATTGGAGTAACAACCTAAAGGATAATAAAAATATCACACATTATATTATGTTTTAACAAATTTCTAACAACAGCTAAAATGATAATATATATTTACAGTCTGTTTATATTTTGCAAATGCATCGCGCAGACCCAAGGCCAAAGCCTCTATACAATTAGCAGCTAATGTAACGACGAGTATATTCGAATCCGTCATACGCTGTTTATAAATAACAGAAAAAGAAAGATTATAAAATGATGCGTTCATAAGTTTTGTGGTCTAAATATATTCGAATTTGAGTAGTAACCTTGGCAAGAGCAGCGACAAGTTCCCCATAATTTCCATCTGCTATTTTTGGAGTTTTGCATTTTTCCAAGAGATTTTCTAGGGCTTCTTTTCGTTCTTTCCATTTAGTTGATGCCTATTATTAAAGTAATAGGCTTAGAAATAATGCTTAAAATAAAACATGATGATTTTATATTATTTTACCAATTGTGTATAGAAATCTTTAGACATTTTCCCAAGAACATCGACTGCCTCAGCTAAATCATAGGCATCAACTTCCTTTTCTTCTTCAGCTTCAGCTTCAGCTCCTAATGTAAAAAAATGATGAGATATAATAGTATTCTATTAATTTTTGATAGTAAAAAGATTTAATACCATTTCCAGCTTCAGCTGCCGCCTCAGCCGCTGCTTGTTGTGACCGTAATAATCGCGTTTGTGTAGGTTTCTCGGGCGGAAGCTTCTCGAAAGCTTCATTTAATTCTTTAACCTTTATTTTGAATACAACTGAGTATAAATAAAGTTTTACAAATTCAGCACGGTTTTGAAATTTACCTGGATTGGTTTCAGTTGCTGCAAGTGTGCATTTAGTGCCTGTCCTAACCATTTATACAATTCTATCACTAGATTTGTACCCTATAAAGTCAAGATGGTTAAATATAGATTTATAAAGTTGAATACAATGAATATATCTGAAAAACATAACCAACCTCGCTTCTGACGTTTTTATCGGTGTGGTTAAATATTGTAGGTAATGTTTTTAGAATTGGCTTAACATTTACTGTTTTAGCGCCATAAAGTCTAAAAAGTTTTAATATACTTGTTAGCTCAAATAGCCAATTGTAATTGCAAAAAGAAATAAATCTAATAAAAAAACCTTATTATTTCTTTTAATGCAAATACTGTAGTTGTGACTAATTTAGGTTGTTTTGCATTTAGACCTGCCAAAACATCTTCCTAAAAGTTTAATAGTATTAAAAAACAAAAATTGACACGATAATTTCGACTATTTTACTATTAAAAGATCGTAGACATACCACAACAGGATCAGCAGTATCCACTTCAATATACAACAATATTAAATCGACAGCTTTATTTTTTGTTCCAGCGCGAGCAGAGCCAAACCCTTTGTCTACAATGGCTGGTATAACAGAAGCTCTTGACCTAAAGTCAAAAGTATAAAATTTATATGTGGTAAACATTTTAAACGCGTGAAAAGTAAACTAGAAAGAAAAGACGCGTAAAAACCAATCAGAAATTTGACTGAAAACAAAGATTTACCTTACGGGATTAGGTGCATTTTCAACAAACGCTAGTAGCGTTGAAAGTCCTGTTTCCTGTGCAACAGCGTTCGAGTCTGTAGCGATATTTTTTAGAAGACCTTCGTAAGGCCGAAAATCTCCTTCATTATCTGATGTTTTAAATTTCTTTGCAAGTTCCTCGTATGCTCCTACTCGAACCTTCCAAATCTGAAAACAAGGAAAGAGCATTAATGGAAACTAGAGCTAACAAAGAATTTGATATTAAAAAGGAACCTTGTGTGTAATCCTTTCTGTGAGTGGTAATGACGAGAAATCTTCTTCTGGTGTGGCCATTTCGAAGCAAGGAAAGAGTAAGTTATAATTTTTGTAACACAAGTAGGTTGTTTTTGATGTTTTCACTGCATTAAATGGTGGCGTTCATCACGTGCCATGAGTTTATACCAAATATAAAAATTTCTTTATTGACATATCAATATGTTTTTGTGTCCAATTTAGTATAGTATGCCTCCTGTAATTTCTTGATTCCTGTGATATGAAATCATAATAATAGTTGAAACTTTGACTGAATCAACTATTTGGGATGAGAACGAAAGTACTAAATGATGTCGAGAATTCAATATTTATAAAAAAGTACGTACGATCCGACAAGATAAAAAATGATAAATAGGACGGTAGTATTATGGCTCTATTTGACATGCAACACCAAGGGAACCAAAAGAAGAGATTGAAAAATTAAAATCTATATATGGAATATCCCACAGTGAAATTTCTAGAGTCTAATTGTATAATTTAATTTGCCAAACTGTGTCATTTACCAAGACTAGGGTGTCTGTAACAAAGTATATAACAAAACAATAACAATGATTTCCTTTCTCGTTATCTAAACATTCATGCTAACAAAAAACTACATTCTTATCGTCATAGCAAATAGTCGCGTAGCCATCCGATCTTTTGATATTGTAGGATCGATGTATTATAAGGCAGAGACTCGTATTGTTCAACCAATCACCATGTGATACGTCGTATATGCACAAATCAATAATTTTCGAGAAGCTAATCAAAAGACATGCTGAATGTTTGTGATCTTTATTGGTTAACCCATTATAGCAACTAAGACGGTGTAAAATAATAATCGCGTGACCTGAAAACTTTACGGCTCCAATCACTAGTTATTTCAAAATTAAATCGAGTTCTGATTGTATATAGATAGATGTGAAACAAACAACTGACAATAGATAATATGAACAGTATGTATATTCATTCTAAGAGTGGTAATAAATTTTGGCAAATCTATAAAGATTTCGAATAATAATGATAATAATAAGGGTTAATTAAAAAAATTCTACTTGGCTCTATGTCATAATATTGCTATAAAATAATGGAGACAAATTCTTGTGTGTTCGTTGATACTTACTATACAAATAAATATAAAATTATTGCTCCACGAATTAAGTAAATAACTATTTCTAGCACGAATAAATTGACTGCTGCTATTAAATACATTAATATAGGATGTTATATTATTTTCATCCATAATAGAAGCGAGCAATACCCTCTTTTTGTTTTTCGCATACACAACATTTTTTGGCTGCCTGGGCACATTTCTCGCACATAACAAAATGATAGCAGGGAAGAATAGCATGAGTGATAGTCTCCACCGAGCAGACCCGACATTTCGTATTTATGTTCTTATTTTCCTCTTGAGCTTCCTCGAATTGTATCTGCAACCTTTCTAAAGTCAATTTGAGATCATGGGCATTCATACCAAGATTAATGTTTCTTTTTTGTGATTTTTGTCGTAGATGCTGCTCATTTTTATTCTCCATGCTTATAGAATCGATTTGGGCTCTGAGTTGTCTCCTATCATTTTCAGTTTGCTGTTTTCGAATAACCAGTCCGTCTAACTCTGATTCAAGGTTTTTGTGTTGTGTTTCTAATCGTTTGATTGTTAAGACAAGGTTTCGTTTTTCTTCCAACAGCTGTTCAACTTTTTCAACTGTGATTAATGGAGGATCTTCTGAGATGAAAGCGGGTGTCGTCTGTGAGAATTTGTCATATGTCGAGGTGCATAAATATTGTCTTGATTCCTGTTCTAATATGGAACCTTGATGTGGTGCACAATCATTGTTAGTCTTGAATATTGACTTGCTAGATTTCTCTATTTCGTATCCATTCCTTCGAGGTTTTTCTTGCGAATATTGATTAGGACTGCTTCCTCGTGACACATCAAATCCATTATCTCTAATTTGAGAAGAGTATATATATCCGCTTGATACATCCTTTTGATTTTCTTGTCTATATGAATTCTTCTCTTGGTTTAATGAAATATCTTTGTTATAATACACACGAACATTACCTGAACGATTATTATCTGAACGTAATGAATTCCGTCCCATTTGAGTATATCGTGATTCTCTAAGACACCATGATTTGTTATCACGATTAGAATCTTGAAAATTAGAATTACGATTCGAATCTTTGGTGTAGAAACTGTTGTAGTTATTGTGCTGGTTATCATTGTACGGCTGCTGGTGTATCTGGTTATTCGTAGGCGTAGTGTTTCTTGATGCTGGAGGGGACATTGGTCCTTTTATGTTTGGTGCTCGATCATTGATATAAAAAGTTTGTGTATTATTACTTTTTATTTTAGTGTTCCTTTGGAGTTGTGGTGGTGAGTAAGTTGGTCGATGATTCGAGTCCGATGTGTCGTTGTTATAGTATTGTGCTGATTGATGATTGGTGAGAGGTGGCGACAAAGTTTTGTAGCTGTCATAGCTATTATTACGTGTCGATTGATTAGAATTATTGGGTGACGATTGATTGGAATTTCGTTTCATATGTAAAAGTTGATCAAGTGAATTTTGTATAATTAAGTTTGATCGGCCGTCCAATTTTGTATAAACTTCATTATTCAATTCAAAACTTTGTCTTTGTGATAATGCATTTTGTGAAAAATGTGCAATTGTTCGATTTGCTTCAGAATCTTGTCGTTGATGCTGCCTCTGATTTTGCCCAACAACTTGACAAGAATTCGGGTCTACGTGTACTCTTGTGGAATTTCCAAAGTTTGAAATTTGAGGACTATTCATTTCCGATTCAGGCAGTGTGTCTTCAAGCAGTTTACGTAGATAATCATAATCTGGATCTTGGGAAAAGTACAAAGATCTAGTATATTTAATGAAATCGAAATAGCCTTTTGGAAGTTCTGCACATAATCTCTCCAGTGGAAAGTCCGCCTTCATTTCAGACACGGCATCCCATACTTCTTGTGCATTGCGTCCTTTAATTCCGGTCCATGGTAGCTTTCCTCTTATTAGATATACGAATAGATATCCTAGCGATTCCAGATCATCTCGTCTGGTGTGCGAAAGCCCATCGTGAACTTTAAGGCTGACAAAACTATGCGTGCCTGTTTTGTATCGGTCTTTTTGATAAGTTATGTGCCTTCCTGTCTTTGGATCTCGATAACTATCAGACGATCCGAAATCAACTATTGATACAGTGTGTTGATTCTGATACAATAATTGAATGTCGGGTGGTTGTTCTTGATCAAACTCGGGTAGTTTGAAATCATACTCCAAAAGAAAATTATCAGGCTTTACATCTCTATAGACAATACCCTGACGATGTACACCCTCCATGATATTGACCTATTAAAGAATCATTTAGTATATCGCTTAAGTACTCTGGCGTATATCGGTTATATAATAGTAGATTATATCCTGGATGCGTACCATTTGTATCGCTAAATATCGAACAATTGGTAAAGGGATTGTCCTAAAAACTTCTATAACCTGCTTTAGTGAAGGTCCAAGCAAATCCATGACACATACCCGGTATTCGTCATGTTGCCCACGCCAATAACATTTTGGGACAAAGTCTAACACAAAACCATGAAACAATTAGTAATATCATTTTAATGGAATATTCGATAGGTAACGTACCATAATCTTTTAACAAATCTAGCAGTTCGACTTCCTTTTGCAAACGAAAGCTGTTAATAGCTTCTCGTTTTGCTGCATACTTCTTTTTAGTTTTGTTGTTTATAACTATATTAAGAATTCATATATTTGTATGCTAACAAACTAATTGCGACATAATTAGAAAATTACGGTTAATATTTGGTTTTCCTTTACCTTGATATACCTGACCAAAAGCGCCTTCACCGATTTTATGTTGGACCGTCCAAGTTCCGTTTAGTATAACTGAATTGACCATTATTACTGATATAGCTATAAGTACAAAATGACGCAACAACGAATTATTATTGAGTTTAACGATAAGAGTCGTCTTTGACTTTTAACCAAATAATGATAATCATATTTGATATTTAGAAAAATATAACTAATGTGACAAATGATGATAATCATTGATATTTAGAAAAATATGGGCGTGTGACAAAAATCTATTTCATTCATTCATTATCTAACGCCAAAGCAAATCTTATTCTAATATATAAAACAATGTACAAATATCGAATTAACCTGCTGAAATATGTAATGTCGTGAATTTATTCATGCTGATGATATATAGGTCACTATGATAGGGGGGATGAATATATCTTTCGAAATCTTCTTTCTATTTGATTTCGTTGGTTGTCTTTCTAACAATGTTATCGAAAGACCTGCTCACAAATTTTGAAGGTTGATAAAGCAACACTAAAATAAAATTGCTGTTAATGAGTACTAAATATTCTTTTTCGATTCGTCTTCCTTATCTCCTTGGTAGCCTAAATCCTCATCGACATCCTTCACTTCAACACGAGGAATTATCTTGCTTGTTCGACTAGTCAATTCTGAAAAAGGCTTATTTCTTGGCAATTCTGTCATTGCCTCGACACGGAATGATTCGCCACCACCACCAGGAGTCGCACCGACAGAACTGGCACGACTACGTGATCTTGACGTTTGTCCGCTGGCAGCCCAAGAACTAGTTCTACTACGTCCAGTAACACTTCCATTCTGTTTATCCATGAAAAAGAAAACATCATCGCATTCGGAATTTGCAACTGTTTCCCAATTGAAGACTTGATCATCTAGCCAATTAATAGGTGAATGGAATAAACTTGTGTTTGACGCATTCGAGGATGATAGTGGCCTTTCAGCTTGCACAATACGTTCTGCGTCAAAATCATCATAGATTTTTGGTCCTAACTCATTAATCAGCTCTGTAAGATCATGTGATAATTTTTCGCGGACTTCGCTAAGATTCTGTATATCATTTCTTCTACCAGGTAACAAAGACAACAAAAGAGGTTTTAGAGATCTAAATGAAATTATTAGTCAAAGATCAGTAAATATTAATTATTTGAATCAGTATTACTCATTATTTAATGACATTTGAGACTTTTTACCTGTATATATCAAGACCAGTCTCAACCAAACGTATGGTTGTATAACTTCCTATCAACATTACGAAAAAAGATAAAATGGGGCCAAAGATTTTCCATTTTGTAGGCCAGTTATATTTAACAGAGAAGCCAAAAACAATAAATGCGTAAAATCCGTATAATATAGGAGTGAATACTAATGCCACAAGAAGTTTCCATGTTGCAAGAACATCACGCCCAGCTACTTTGACTGACGAGGCTTGGACCGCCTCTGTTATGCAAAAAGAAAAGCAAGGTTATTAATTATTAATGTTTATAATTCGTACCATTTTAACCAACCTTTGGCTTTTTTACTAGAAATGAGACGCGCAACTACAATTATTGGTAGATTCAATACGAAACTAAATTTTAAAAAAAAATTAAAATTAAAAAGAAACTTCAATTATAACTGAACTTGACCACAGCTTTATATTAAAATACCCGGGAAGTCCTAAAACAGTCCAAAAAAATAACAAGCAAACTCGATATATCAATAAGCCAGCGGATCTTCTTCCGCCTAAAACTTTTTTATTCACTTGATGATCTCTCAACCCATGATACTTTAATAACTGATTATAGGTCATCACTTGTTGCCTTATTTCTTGTACGCGCGGATCATCTTTAAAATGCATATAACCGGCAACAAATCGGCGATTTAATTCAACCACTTGTGATATAAGCAGCTTTCTATGTGCAGGTTTATATAAACGACGACCAGCTTGAATGACCTTCAAAATTGGGATAGATGAATTATTATTATTATTATTTAACTTACATAGGTTGTCAAATCCGAATTGAAGATTTACCATTAATGTCTCGTAATCAGGCGTATTTACAGTAACAGCAGTTAATCCATTATATATAGTATCTAAAAGTTTAGAGCACGCTTCGCGTTTTTCTGTACCACCTCTTTTGTATTTCTCGACAAGGTCCCGTGAAATCGATATTGGGGCTCCAAATTCGACCACAGCTCGTGAGCGAAATTGATGCGCATGAAAATAATTAAGACCTGATGCACAAAAAAAATAAAATGAGCATATTATTTGGATAGAATGTACACTTCATAAAAGTTACTACCACAAGGGACAATTTTCACGTCAAGTTCGGGATTAGCTTCCATTGCACCCAAAGCCATAATCGTAACCCCGGCTATAAAAAAAATATCAATAAAATCGTCTATACACTCGACCATGGTAAATGCTCTAGATTTTTTTCAAATAACCTTTTAGCGGCAATATTTCCGTTCGATCATGACTTCCTCCTTCAGGAAAGATTCCTATACAGTGTCCAGCATTCAACGTCTCAAAAACCGATTTGTATACTTGACTTTGATCAATATGAGGAACGCACTTGTAAGGAGTGCCTTCAGGTTTGTCAAGCATTTCAATAGCAACTAAATCTTTAAATTCCTTTTTGATTATTAATTCAGTATCAGAGATAATCTGTATTACTTCTGACGATCCTCGGTCTTTTGGAAGTGCAATTTGATGGCCAACTTTTAGTTGTTTAGTGAACATCGTATCAATACCAGCTATACGTGTTGGTTCAGTTTTGCGATTTATGATTTTTATACGGCCCTTTCCAGGTTTAGCCATGTCCTGGGGACGTGTCACTGGGACTGTAAATCAATGTTAGATAGAATCTCATAAGATCATACATAGTGTTGTGAAAGAGAAGCTTACTGGCATTGAGGGCTCGTGCCATTGCCCCGATATATTTTCTTTTCATGGATTTTTCGGCAATTAAAAAAGACACGCGTCTTTGACAATGGTTCATGAGAATTAAAGGATCGACAAACTATGAAAATATTTGCAATCAATGAAAAACAAAAATATAATGAATATATGCTACATCAAAAGATCTCCAACCAAAACGCAAATCTCCGATCCGATATTCAATTTGCATTGATCAATCATTCATAAATGAGGAATACTTTTACGTCTTTATAAGTTGACTATAAAGAAGTTTATATCCTTTTTTATTTGTTTTTTGAACAATTTTTCCTATTATAAATTTACCTGGTTTGCATGAGGCGCTGCAACGAATATTATTGGTCCTTCTGTTGGAATTTTATGTGAACCGCGAGGTCTTATCTCGCGAAAAAAAACGTCCAGGATAATGCTGAAAAAGAACACCACAATGTCATAGGTTTGTAGACTCATTTTTTATCTAAAGTCCCGAAAGACTGGATGTCGTTGTTGTTGCTTATAAGGACAAAAGATGTAATTTTTTACTGAAAACTAATAGAGTTTCTATGAGTAGAATAAATAGTACTGAGTATGGTTCTCGAGAAACAGCTCGCAGTAATGGTGGAAAATGTCTTTTTACAAAGCGTAAAAAAGTGAGAAATTTTGTATATTTACGATTTTCAATTATTTGTTACACTGCAGAGAGATCTTCAATGGTTTTTTGAATATATGTAGCGAGTTTCTTTATTATATCGATAATTTTGGGAGTTAAATGCGAATTTCACGCTTCCTTATCGTTTGTTATGCGTTTTTTTACTAAGCAAGAATTAAGTCAAGACAAATATCGTAGAGCATTGCTTCTAGTAACCCCAATATAGTATCTCCCTTTGCAAACCCCCGCCCCTGTTCGACCAATAAAATTTTTGCATTATTAATAACTCGACGAAATCTTGAGGAAAAAGAAACGTTAACAATGAATCATGTTATTTATGATTACGTATCGATAGAAAGTCAATTGTGGCTGACTATGACACTGTTTGAAATTTATTCGTCGGCAACAGCGTCGTTAGTTTTAATTGGAGCCTCTTATTTATTCTTAGGACGAAGAATATACAATTCTCAATTTAAAAATTAATAATATTCATTGCTTTTGGATTCGAGTTCCTTGGGAGATATCTTTCGTGAAGCTGGTATAGAAAGAAAACGGTATGAGTCTAACAATCATCCGAAGAAAGTATATGAGAGTCTGAAACGAACCAGAATGGTATAAATTACATGGTATATCATGCTAAATGAAAAAATATCATCATAAGTTGCTCTAATAAGTGTTGAGAAGATAATTAATTTTGTTAATTCGACGCTTCTATTAAGTTGATTTGATTCTCATAATTAATTACGGACTTAAAAAAATAATTGCTTAAAGATTAACTTTTACATATTGAAATATTTCGAGGAAGTACATATTTATATTATATTATATATATTTTGGTTTCTTCAACACATCTCATTTATGCTATGAATAATATTATCTCGATTTTCATAAGCGATAAAAGTGAACGATTCAAAATTCACATAACACTCAAATTCTTTGTGCAAAATGAGAAAATACAAGTTCAGCGAGTTTTTAAATGCTGGATGAACAATGAAAATACCGTATTACAGTACAATTCTGAGCTCACGCGTAAATAGTTTAATAAAACCCATCAAGAGTACTTCGATTAAATGTCAGCGGAAATGACCTTTCAAAGTAGGCATTTCGTGATACGCATTTTCTTTTGAACTGGTTATCTCCAATTTTGGATAATATGTAATGTGTCGTTCATAAGTTTGACAACCATATAAAATCCTATAGCTTTAGAATGAAAAAAGACCTATAAATATGTTTGATAATTTACGTTAAATTAAGGGGGGTTCACGAAGCCAATTAACAAGTTCCAGTCAGACCTCCCTAAATACAATATCTCCCTAAATGCAAGCTCAAACTCTTGCCCAAATATATACTTAATTTCCATAAATGTATGGTTTTCTAAATGCAGTTTTAAAAGATTGGTCCGAGCAAGTTGCATTTAGTGAGGTCTGACTTTACATGTGAGTAGACTATCAATCATTTAACGTGAAGAGGGTTAGCAAAAACCTTATTTGCTCATTTAGCGTAAATTATGGATGCCCCCTTGAATTCCTTACGTTTTGTTAAAATTTCATTAAACATAGCATTTATTATCATTATACGGTTGCTAATTTCAAGAAATTTTATTTAAAAAGTGAATGAATGTTATTTATCATTGAGTAGGAGATGATTCAGAGAGAGCGGACGATTCATCATCATCGACGCTCACATCTCTCTTCTCCATTATCCGATCAATCAATCCAAACTCGAGCGCTTCTTCAGCTGTCATAAAATAATCTCGTTCTACTGCCTTTTCTATAAATGATATGCAAACTTATAATAAAAAATTGATTTATGTGAGGATTAGAGAACAAATTATTAAATTACCTATATCGGCTAAAGTGTGTTTCTTTGTGTGTTTTTGATATATTTTATTTAATCTTTCTCTTACTCTCAGAATTTCTTTGGCGTGTATGGCAATATCAGTCGCTTGGCCACGTGCTCCACCGCTCGGTTGATGTACCATAATGCTAGAATTGGGAAGCGAGTATCTTTTACCTGGTTCGCCTGATTAATCAAAAAAATAATATTGATGAATTTATCGTGATAAGTATAAGAATAATCAATAGATGAATGAACATATTACCCGCTGCTAATAACAAAGATGCCATTGAACAAGCTTGACCATAACAACAAGTTGAAACTGGGGATTGAATATACTTTATGAAAAAAATGAGCAATGCTCGATTCAATGCAATGTTACGTTAAAACGTCATAAGAACACTATATAAAAATATTATAATCACCTGCATCTAAATCAAACGACAATAATAAGAGTCATATTTAGATTTGTTAGTTATAAAGATACGATATAAATGTCACCGTGGTGCCGAAAATAAGCACTTTTTTGCACCTAAATTGAGAGGTGTACTTCCCATACGCCACTTGTTTCACATGGAAGAGAATCAACAATCCCAACGTGATTCATCTTAGAAGTATGCAGAATGTTGACTCATTGTTTTACTTGGATCCAGGGGTGCTTATTTTCGGCACTATACAACCACCTACTGCATCATATACGGCTAATCCGGATGTCACAGCTCCACCTGGGCTATTAATATATAACTTAATTTCTTTTTCAGGATTCTCATTTTCAAGATAAAATAATTGCGCTATTACAACGGACGCGACATGATCTTCTATCTGTAATTACCAAGCCTCATTATCGATTAATTAATAAATATTCATTGAGTACTGATGCAACCAATAAATAATTTTTCAGGAAAATATCAAAACCTCGCCATTCAAGCAAACGATTCGTTCTTTTAATAGGCGTGAAAAGATGTCATATGATCGTTCAATTCCTTTCTAATCGTTATTTTTGCAGAGTTAAATAAAGGTTATTGATAGGATATAATGATGATAACATAAAAGAATTCACTTAGAACTTACAGATTGATCTACAACAAAAGGTATTAATGCCGTGGCTGATAAATGCCCATAGGATAATAACCTTTTTCTAATAATGCTTTAAGAAGAATTTTTCAGTGTTGATAATAAAGAAAGACAAATAACAAATTCTCGTAAATGTTCAAACTCAAAAATAATAATTATTATTATTATACATTTCGCGATTAATTGCAGCATACAATAAAATATATTCGTATGAACATGTCAAATAATTAATTCATGTTTTTTAAAACTTTAAAGTCATACTTCTTGGTTTTTAATAGGTTTATATTTTTTACTGAAACATGCCTTAAAGTTTCAGCATGTAACAAAAAATTTAGGGAAAGATTATTAATACTCGTTAATTTCAAAGCTTGCGAAATTTTGGTAAATTGCATTTTCGACTAAATTTTTTTTTTGAAAATTGCAACAATGATGTCACACCGCTTCTTGAAATGATGAGCCAATGAACACACTAAACGTTAAACTTTTAGTAGCGGTAGCTTTTAAAATCATCGTTTTTTATTGACAATGTTTTCCGCAGGACCATCTGGCATGTATTAAACTCTGCAGACATACGAAGAGAAATCTGAAATATCATAAAGAAATCCAAATTGATTCGTTTAATAAAATATTTTGTTCCAAAAATAGGCTTTCAAAATGCCCCCGTAACCAAATGCGCAATCCTCAGTCTTGGAGGTTGTACTCTGGCGACAGCGTTACTCGACTTCAAACCGCTTTTGCACTTACAGCTAATACCGAACATAACCGAACAACATGAAGTATCTATCTATTGTTTTCGTTTTCGTATATATTTCATCTAATAATGAATGATTTCTAGGTAAAAAAACATGATTATTCATATATATATATATATTTTATCATTTTTTATTATTATTGGGTTTTGATTTGTGTAGTTTTGGCGGTTAATCAGCTCGCATTGTGCATTTGCCAGTTCGGGAGAAGTGCTGTTAGGTGGATTGGTGCTTTATAATCTTCGAACTATTGAAAGACAATTCGGAACATCAAAATATGCAGTAAGTAATCGTTGGATCAATGCAAGGGAAAGGGAGGGTTAGGTTGTGTAAAGAAATTGATTTGTTATTAGAATTCGAGAATCAGTTGAAATTGGTATTTACTCTTAATCTTTCTTATATGCGATAGGCGTTTTTATTCGCGTCTTCAGCGATATCTACAATACTCGAACTTGGAGCATTATGGGCTGGTAAATATTTTGGATTAAATTATATACCAGGCGGTCCTTATGCCATGATATTTGCAGGTTTATATCAATATCAAAGGGTGGTTCCATCCACACCACTCTTCACATTTCTCGGTGTCACCATTTCAAGCAAATTTATAGTATATTCTTTAGGATTACAGGTAACTTAATACATGCAGAGCTTGATATTATTACAATATATCGCACCTTTCTTATCGTTTATTCTAACACATAACCAATCCACGAAAAAGTTATTGGGCTTTCATTACCCCGCATCATCAGTTGCCGCTCTATGTGGTATATTGGCCGGTGTTATCTATCAAAGTGAATATCTAGGGCTAAAAAAGTGGCGACTACCCGGATTTCTTAATCATTTTGCGTCACGATTTATATTACCTCTTTTATCTACAAACTCTACGCGAAGATGTACGACTACCGGTGGTAACGTCATTTTAGATCAACAACGACGAATGACACAGGATCATTCCAGGCGGCGAGGACCTCAATATCATCGGGATCCCCCGGTATTTAATACTTTATGCTACATTAGAAGAACCATAGCGGAAACTTAAAAACTTAATATTTCTTATTTATTTTTAGCTTCCTCCACCTTCAGCCGCAGTTACTGAAGAACAAATTGCTACGTTACAAGCAATGTTCCCGCAGAGTTCTTATTCTCATATAGCACAAGCCATTCAGTCTGCTAATAACGATATCAATAGAGCAGCACAGTTTTTATTAGATCACCCTCGGTAGAAATAACTCGCGCACTTACATAGATTAATTATATAGAGAATTCATTAATATGAAAATTCGTGTAAAATTTTAATTTCTTCCGTTTTTTCTTTGTATTCTAATCATTTGTACGAGTAATCTAACTAATTGATCAAACTATTCAAAGATCTTAACGCAGATTCATTTAATTTTATTAATGATAAAAGGAAAATTAATAATATTACAAACTAATACATAGGCAAAGATTAATTTAAATGTTAAACGGAATGAGTTTCGTTTAGCGATAAGATACGAGAATAGAATTATGATGTTTGGTATGTTATGTTGTCACTCTTCAAGGATAACGGAGGATCATACTTCTGCGGCCGCGGCACCTTTCTTATTTTTCTTTGGAAGGAGATTTTGATGAATATTTGGCAGCACACCACCCTGAGCAATAGTAACATGGCCGAGTAACTTGTTTAACTCTTCATCGTTGCGAATAGCCAATTGAAGATGACGTGGAATGATTCTTGATTTTTTGTTATCACGGGCAGCGTTTCCCGCTAATTCCAGAATTTCCGCAGCCAAATATTCAAGTACGGCAGCAAGATACACCGGCGCGCCAGCACCAACTCGTTGCGCGTAGTTACCTTTACGAAGAAGACGGTGAATTCGTCCGACTGGAAATTGAAGACCGGCTTTCGCTGATCGAGAAGAGCTAGCTTTAGCTGAGGCGGCAGCAGCGGATTTACCACCCGATTTTCCTCCTGAAGACATGTTTGATAGTTGTTGTGATTGTGTTGTTTTTTATGGGTGAGAAATTATTGTTATTATTTTGCGAGAAATTTGTTATTCTTGTTACTTTGAAGAAAATCAAGAGAAAAAAAATCAAGGGCCCCTTTTTATATTCAAAATACACGCTTATCCTCACAAAAAACAAAACAAAAAAAAATATAAAATCGTGTGGCGTATGTCTGTTATTAATAATACGGATTACATTATATACATAATCACGTTACTTTGCAAAATCAATCCAAGGGTAATAAAAATAAACAATACGCGAAAGAAGAAAGATTGTACACACGTATCCTCAAATCAGAACGAAAGCCACAATTAGTAAGAACGCGTGATTGTTGACCAATCGAAACACTCTCTTGTTCAAATAACTATTCATTATATGTGCTTTGTGTTTTTGTCAAGGGACATTTTTGGTATTGCGCGAAATAAAGTGGCAACGCGTGTTCATACCAAAACAATAAAATCAGTATAAATAGAGGGGCTCCTTACTCGCACTCCATCCATTTTTCAATCCTAATAAAATCACGATTATAGGCACTACGTCAGTAATATACGGTCATAATAATTCCCTGACACATAATATATAAAATCTTCAAATCTACACACATAAACACATAACATACATAATACAAAATGCCGCCAAAAGCTGAAAAGAAACCTGCTTCAACTGCTAGCAAGGCACCCGCCTCTAAAGCCCCTGCTGAAAAGAAAGAAAAAAAACAGGCAGGAGAAAAAGGTAAAAAGAAGAAGGTTAGAAAAGAGACCTATTCCAGCTACATCTATAAGGTGCTCAAGCAGGTCCACCCAGACACCGGCATTTCAAACAAGGCGATGTCGATCCTAAACTCATTCGTAAATGATATCTTCGAACGCATTGCAACCGAAGCTTCCAAGCTCGCTGCCTACAACAAAAAATCCACTATCTCGTCTAGGGAAATTCAAACGGCCGTTCGTCTTATTCTTCCAGGAGAACTAGCGAAACACGCGGTTTCTGAAGGTACTAAAGCCGTCACTAAATACACCAGTTCTAAGTAGAACGTCAACCTATGATAATATCGATAATATTCTAATTTTAAATTCATAGTTATTTCGTTTTTTGTAAATGATATTTGTATTCGTAATATATTTTTATTTTCTTCGCTTTTTACTACGAATAAAATTATTGATTCGTCAATAATATACTCATTAAGTGAAACGTAATCGGAATATTTGTAATCATTTTATTCTAGTTTCCCGTTCCCTCCAGAATTGTTACATTAAACCATGAATTTGAATTTACCAGAAAAATAATACAAAATATACATAATATTATATAATAAATAAAGATAAATTTGATTACAAGCGTAGAATTATTAAATGAAAATTGGAAAGTACTCGCGTTATCGTTATCGTTATCGTTATCCTTATCCATATTACTATTCAGATGGTGCAAGATCCCGGAAATAATATTTACTCAAGTACACTCTCAATTTTCCGATTTCTTGCGCAATTGTTCCCTGTATCTCGGCCCGTAATTCATTTCTTAAACGTTCAATCTGTGGATCACTGTAATCGCCTTGAGGATGATATATCCCCGGAACTATTCCAATGTCGCTAGGTTGGTATACTGATGATGGCGTGGATGTAGATGCACCACTGAATCCTAACCGCGAATTCTGATCAGCTCCTGGTGGATGTAACGCTTCAGCTTGTGCTAGATTTGACAATGGTTCCTCCTGTTGATGTTTTGTGTCAGTGTACGAGTACGGGAATACGGTTGGTGTATAAGCAGGTGGAACTGATTTAAGAACCTACATAAAATTCAAAGAACATTACTGATGATATATTATTTGTTAATTAATGATGCTTCATTAATAAGTAAAAAAATTTGAATTTAACTTACATATCTCTGAATAATACCCCACGGATCAACACGTCTTGATCCAAGAAGAATGAAATAGAGCGCGCTTAGAATGCTCACAAAACCACCCATGTTAGCGGTCAATTGCAATAATGTGAATTCAACACGTCCAAACCAAATTTGAATGGAATAAGCTTGTAATTTGGCAACTGGATCAAATTTATAATCTTTCGGGATAATTCGGAAAAGACTCCAAAGATTAGGTGAAATGCCAAATCCAGAAATTGCAAAACTGTCAAATGACGTGTCCAGTTCCACATCTGCATTTGGATCATATTCCGTATTTCCTGTACCGCCACCAGTTATTACGTCTAGATTGATATTTTGCTTTTTCTCGATACGACTAAAGTAAAGATAAGAGATTGCAGGCTATTATTGAAACCCCCCCGCCAATAGTAAGTATATAATAATACGATGATTTTATCTAGATTCCGTTCGCTATACGATATTTACCATTTTCACTATTTGAAATTTAACATCTTGAGGATTTTCCCGCTCGGTGAATATTCCAAAGAAATACCATTCATCAATTGTGATTGCCCCTAACTAGTAAGTATGAGGTCAAATTAAGGTAAATAAACCCGCTTATTTAATGACGATAACAATATAATAAAGTTCACTTACCGTGTTATTCGCATTCACACTGGACCATAAAGCCAAAGCAATTTTTTGTGTCGAATTATTGTATCTAAGAGGTGGACCTAATGCATTATTGTAAGGTCTCCGAGGGTCAAAGATATCTGTATTACGTTGTGATATTGTTAACACGTAAATAATAAACTTGAATTGGATCACTCTTTAGACACAAAATCACAAAAGTTCCAATCCCTGAAATCAACACTTAAAACTTACAGCAATATTGACCGGTTAGGTTATAAAAACCATACATATTATAGAAACTGGTACCGTCAAATCTTTCTCTCGAAAGATATTCGTCACAAGGATCACCCTGTGTAATTCAGTAAATTATATCTAGCATATATTCAAGTAATTATATAAATTCTATATGGCTTTTTTAATTGAACTCACGACTTACCTTGTTATATTCATCGTCGGCCGCATTAAAAGCACTCTTAAAGCATTGAATTGGCTGATCTAGAGTTAAGCCACAAAAAACGAGCCCAGGCACCTATTATTTATTTATATTTAACTTTCATTTATTTCTCTTACCATTTATAGCGCATAATTTCCTAAAAACATGTGGTTTAATAAAAAACTTACAGGTATTTCAGATCGAACCGCGTCTCTTACACTGACAACAGGTGACTGTATAGCTTGCACCATCCGCCAAATATTCCATGTCGCAAAACCAGCAATTAAAACTCCAATAACAATCAAAATTGCTAATTTTACACGGTTTTCTTTAGCACGTCGCAGATCGTATTCGTCAAGTACGTCTCCATTATAACTTTTCACGACCATGTCAAATTTGGGTTTTATCTTAATAGTTGTATTAATTTAAATTCCACAGCTGCAGCTGTTTGGGTAAACTCGAATGCAATAAATAAATATATGATTGTCTAGCTTCGCCACAAACCATTGTACAGCCTTGAAGGTTTTACAATTTTGTTATTAATAGAAACCTAAATTCAGCAAGTCAATTGTTAGGGATTCATCCCAGAAAAAACCGTTTAGGTTGAACAATGATTTTAAATATAGGAAATAGCGCCATTTCAATCCAAAATAATAAAATGTAACGATATAAAAGGTAATTAAAATGATGTCCCACTTCTATTAGACATTCAATACTTTAAAATTATTAAAAAAATATGTTATTCAATTGCCTTTATAAAATTATTTGTAGTTAGACTTTTTTTAAACATAAATTCTAATAATGGCCTGATGTATTATTTTTTTGATTGGCTGAATTTCATCATACAATTATTCATACAAGACAGAATCAACACTTAACGTTAAATATGAATTTTAAAGAATTTTCAATTCTATGGTGATACCCGACAAATCATCAGCCCAAATTATGCTACAACGTTAATTCTGACCAATTAAATATTCATGTGCTTGCTTCAATTTCGAAGGAAACATGGATTTAAATGCCTATAACTTTTTTTGAAACTAAACCGATAATGTAGAGTATAGATTGACTTATAAAAGTTATCGGTTTGGTTTTTCGAAAATTCCCTCTACGTTATTACACAGAAAGATTTTAAAGATGCTCGATTTTTCGATCACGTGATTATCAGGTATAATATTTTATTAAAATATGATCCAGTACAAAAAGATTGATATACTAATATAAAATTAATAATTGCTTCTAATAAAAATCATTCAAATTTTTATAAATTTTTTATATTAAATAAAAAATGATCTAAATTAACTTTTTATATTATTTTAATTATTCTATTATATTTTAATTTAATAATAAATAAAGTATTACTTTACT